AGGCAGCATTCCCCAGCTCGAAAACAGCCTCTGACGCTCTGACGCTCATTAAGCACGTTGTGTAATCATGGTGTGTTGTGCAGATACAGTCTAATTGCTCTCGGGTAGCTAATTAAGATAAGTGGGATGGCCACTTTGGGCTTGCTCTTTGTAAAGCCTGCTGGCCTCCTGCATTCCGGGGCTGCAGGAGGGTTAGTTCCTTCCTTGCAGTGCTGCGGATGCGATATCATCGCTTGCAAAAATGCCTTGCAAAATGCTTTTTTTTGGGGGGGGGGGGAGGACCTTACTCACCTCCCGCAGCTGTGAGAGGCACTGAAACTGCCCCCTTCACGGCACCCTGAAAACCAAATACAACATTTGGCTGCTTGGCTTAAAACCCCGGCTGTGTGTGGGGTAACCTTGGTCCGACACCCTCCTAATGCAGTTTTGAGCTGGAGGAGGAGGAGGGTTGGCCTGGAGCAGAGGCTGGGCTGCAAGGATGCTGTGGAAGTCGTTGGAAAGTCTGAGCTCTTGTAGCAGCATCTCAGCTTGTGCTTTATTGTTTAGGACAAAGGTCTTTTCGTGGGCACAGCGGGGTGCGGGGTGCAGAAGTTTCGGGGAGGAGTAAACAAGGCTCTTTGCAGCACCCTTTCCTCCCCGGCACGGCTGGGGAATGGTGCCTGCCCTGCTAAGTCAGCCCCCACCGTCGCAGCCCACAGCCTTTGCCTGTCCCAGTTTACCCACTGCTCCCCAAACGCTTTAGAGGCAGGCGGCATCTCTTCCCTGGCTTGTTCTTGGGGAAACTGAGGCATGAAGGTGGGAAGCAGCTTGCTGTGGAGTCGAGGTTGGGAGCTGGGTGCTGTTGGTCCTGGCCTTGCAGGGCTGGGCTGGGAGCTGGTTTGGGGGAGGCTCTCTGAAACCAAGGGGTGGCACTCCGGGAGTGACTGTTTCTCACCTTTTCCCATTGCGCTGGCGTGGTCCCTGCCTGCTCCACGGCGAAGATGCTGGGATGCCTGGAGCAAGGCAGGAATAGCCCTTCCCCCTGTTGCATCCTCTTCCTGGGGTGCTGGAGGGGGCTTGGACCATCAGGGACCTGGGGGCTGCGACCCTGAGCCAGGCAAGTGTTGCCCCCCTCCCCCCCAGTCCCATTGGGTTTTGCTCATTTTACTCTCCTCTCTCCTTACTCTGATGCGGGTGTATCTTCTGGTATTCGCTATCTCATCCCTCCTTTCTGCTTCCTTCCCCCTCTGTACCCAGCCTGCAGCACTAATCCTGCAGCACCCGTTGATCTGCCTCCTTCCTGCAGAGGAGCAGATTCAGCGAGACCTCTTGACCTTACCTAGGAGAAACTGCGTTAATCGAAAATAATCTTTCTTACCATCCAGAGGTGTCCAGCTTCTAGGACAAAAACGTGGCTTTTGCCAAGCAAGTGCCATCCCCAGAGGATGCTGCCATGGCTGGGCTCGACCCAGTCGAAGAAAACCAGAACCAGACTGACCTTAGCATGCTGCTATCTTAATCCAATTTATTTATTTTTTAATCAGTGAAGTCTTTGTATTTGCTCTGGTCGTTATCCTTTATGCTGAATCAAAGTACTTTTCTGTTTCATTTTATTCTTAAGGAAGCGTTGTGGATGAACGGTGTCTAAATGCAATAGGTTATTCTCATTTTTAACTGCTGGCCACCTCGGCAGCGTTTCAGATCTCTTTCTCCTCGGGTCTCTTGGCGGCTCACCCGCCCTCCCTCGTTCATGGGCCGCGCACGCTCTCAGGTAATAGTGACAAGGAAGTAGGAAATCTCGCTGAAGGTGAGACGAAGGTGTGCATGGTGGGATGGAGTCAGACGTGGCTGTGCATCCTTGGCCACCGGCTGCTGACAGGTGATGCAGGTTGTCCTTCGTGCAAAGGACACCCCTGGAGAAAGAAGCAGCAAGTTCCTCCATGGCGGTGTGGGAAATTTGGGGTGATTATGGTGCGCAGCAAAGGGTGAGGGGCTTCTGCACCCTGCTTGGGCAGGGATTAGTGAAAACACTTCTACCAGCGCTTCCTACCATTTTCTTCTACCAAGAAGACTATGAAAGCTCGTTAGGGAAGAAGTTGGACTAATTCCGGGTGTAGCAGCTTCCTGGGCACCCTGAAAGGTTAAAGGACGCACACATTTAAAGAAGGGCCTGGAAAGCATATGCAGGGGGACCAAAATACTCCTACAGACCACGGGCTTTGTTGTTTGCAGGTCCAACTGAGCACTTCTTTGGTGGGGAGGGTTAGCAAAGACGTGACTATAGATAACCAGGGAAAGAAGGACACTAAGCCTACAGTGGTGACCAGCTCCGTGAACATGCCCATCCCTGGAAATCTGGGCTCAAACTCCTTTTGGTTTCTTCCCTTGCTACCCTGGGACCCTTTTTCTTTCCCCTGTGTCACCTCTGAGCTTTCAAGAGGCTCCAGCAGCAAACTCGGTATCTGTAAATAATTCATCACAGCGCTGCTCCCAGAGTCAGGCAATGTTGGACGCCGCGGTCCGGAGGCAGACAGGTGCTTCGGCTGCTGCACCGCTTAACCCTGCAGAGGTGCAGGGGAGCTTCTCATGGACCCTTTAATTTATGATCAAATTTACTTTATTGATCCCATCCCGTCTTGTGTTGTAGCAATATCTCGTCTCTCGAAATGGGGCTTTTTGCAGAGGATGCTGTGGAGCTTGTAACTCAGCGGTGTGCAGCCCCCCCGCCCCCCTTGAATTTACCCCTCCTGTGCGCTGCACTTCAGGGTTGTATAAACGCCACGGTTAAGACAGTCCCCTCTTGCTAGAATTTACACCAACCCTTACGTTTGTTAATTTGTTTGAGGCTGCGGTACTTGCTCCTTTGCCTCTCATCATGGGGGAAATAAAATGATGCAAAATAATAATGTAAAGCCTTTCACCCCATTTGCTGTAGAGCTTGCAGATGCCGCTGAGATGGAAATATCTGTTAGAGTGTACCGAACAACAAGCTAAAGCCTAATGGGTTTAACGTGCCTCCAAACAACACAGCTTCCTGAGCAGGAAGCCTGGGTACTAAAAACCCAATAACGACATCGTCCTCCCACACATCATTCACTCCACAGATGTAGCTGGGGAGGAGGGAGGAGGGCGAGCAGGTCCAAAGGGAAGGAGGTCAGCGGTGCAGAGAGGGGGACGGTGGCTTCCCGCAGATTTCCAATTCTTTGCGTGGTTAAACTTCGGGGGTGGTTGGGAGCCAGGAAGGGAGCGGGGAAGGACTCTTCCAGGGGAGATGCAAAACCGCTGTGGGTGAAAAGGAGAGGCAGGAAGGGAGGGCTTTAATGTGCCAGAGACCCAGCGTGTGGAGGGATGGCGAAGGGCTTGCTGAGCCCCCCCTGCTGCAGGCAGGAGCTCCTGCTTCTGAGCCTGTAGGGAGGTCCCCAAAGCCCACCACCGTTTAGGCAGAGCAATGGTTGCCTATAGCCTGCTCCTGGGAAGGCAGTTTGACCAGCCAACGTCTCCAAAGCTGCTTGATCTCGTGCATACACTTCTAGACGCTGTGCCCCGGTGCAACCATCAGCCCTGTGTGATGGGGATCTGCTATATGAGGATATATAGCAGCAAACATGATCTCGGGCACAGCTGGTGAGCTTGGCTTACCTTGGTGGGATCTTCGTGTCTGGGAAGATCCCTCACACTTGGCCCAAGACTGCTCCAGCACTGTTCAAGAGCTGAGCTAATGCTCAGTGAGGTTTTTCCTCTTATCCCCTTTTCCCATCTCTTCAATGCTGCGGGTATTTTTCTCACTCCATGGCACGGACCTTCAACGACAGCGTCACTGTGTAATGCATATTGCAAACACGCCTAGAAAGCTCAGCAGCTTGATATAGTACAATATGTAACGCAGAGGCTGGATCCTGGTCCCACCTGTATCCAACCAAATCAGAGGAGCTGCTCTGGGGTTTGTGGAGCTGCACTACCAAGGGAAGGAGAATAAGGCTCAAGGAGATTTGCGCCAGCACAGTGGAGACCAGAGCCTGCTCCAGGCACTCTATGAAGACCCTTAGGATGCTCCTTGTGGCTGAGGTTCAGGGTGGGATTAGGGGAGGTTTGGAGAACTTTTTACTAACTGAGATGGTCAGTCTAGGTGTGTGGTAGATATCAGAAGAAAAAGAAGCCAAGATGTCTTGTGTCGTTCAAGGGTATGAAGGGGTTGGTCAGAGCAATTGGAGTCCCTTAGCTTGGGACAGTAAAAATGTCACACCTTCCTCCTACAGGTATTGAAATTATTATTACAGGATCACAGAATGGCTGAGGTTGGAAGGGACCTCTGGAGATCATGGCAACACTGCTCCCAGTGCAGCCCAGCTGGCTTTCCTTGCTGGGAGGGAGTGTTGTGGTCTTGTGTTCAAGCCCAGGTCCTTCTCTGCAGAGCTGGGTCGCCCCCAGCCTGTGCTGGTGCCTGGGGTTGTTCCTCCCCAGAGACAGGGCTTTGTGCTTCTCCTGGTTGAACTTCGTGTGGTTCTCCAGCCCACTGAGGTCCCTCCGGATGGCAGCACCAACACTGACTGTGTCGGTTGCTCCTCCCAGTCTTGTATCTCCCGTTGACTGTGTTCTGCCCCGTCACCGAGGTCATTGATAAGGATGTTAAACAATGCTCACCCAGATGATATTTAAACAATATTGTCCTTGATTATGTTGAACAGCATTGGTCCCAGTTACGCTCTGGTATGGCTGGGATTTGGCAATACCAGGAGCCTGGCCAAGCACTGCTTTGTTGCTTTGAGGTGAAACGATTAATAATTTTTAACCTCTCAGGTGCCCTGGTGATTAGCACGTTCAGTGTTTTGCATGCCGCTTTGCTGCTTTGCAGAAGCAAAGTGCTGAGAGGAAACGAAAACCAGGAATAATGAATAGCTGCTTACAACGACCGTGTGCCTGCTGTGTGGGTGTCGGCAAAGCACGACAGGATTTTGCTGTGCTGAGCAAGGCGAATACAGGCAGAGCAACTTGGCAGTGTGCTGAATGGTTTGTTTTGGCAGGCGGATAAAGCAGACCTGACAGGATGACGAGTACCGCTACGAAGAGCAGCTACCCGGATCAGGCCCGGAAAACGCTCTGCAGGAACCCATTTCTCAGTATCAAGGTAAACACCTCCCGCTTTCTATAATCCCACCTTGGATTACTGGCCTGGTAAAGAGGAGTTTAGCTTTCTGCAGAAGGCATTGATAGGATTTCTGTTTACCGAATGCATTTAGAAAATGCTCCGGGTGCTCCCTATGGCAGAAGTGCCGTCGGATGTGCAGCCGTCTCCATCCAAAAGCAAACAGTGGGACAGCAATGTCGCAATGCAAGTTTAACTTTCAGCTTCTGCAGCATTTAGCTTCTGTCAGTGAAACTCCCAGAGCCCAAAGCAAACCTTCAAGAAAAACAAATCCCAGATTTTGAAGCAGCTATGAGCCTCAGCCTGCATGGAAATAAGTTTTTTATGATATCCATGATAAATGCCTGTATGTAACGGGAGCAGCAGAGATTGAGGGAACGGGGAATCGATCTGGGAGCCTGGCATACAGCAGCCTGCAAAGCTTTGGGTGTTAGTCCCCATTTAGGCAAGGAATTGCATCTAGTTGGCTTAAACCCTGCCTTTGCTTGAATTTATTCACTGAAAACCTATATCCTAAGCAGTGATTGAGGCCATCTGGCCTGCAATGCCGCCTGTCCCTGAGGTAAGTTCACCCGGGGCCTCCTCGTTTTGCCGTTGGGTGTCTGGGGTGATGCGGGGAGGTGCTTCCTCCACACCTTCACCCAAAAGAGCTCTACCAGGTGCAGTGCAGGCAGCCAGACGAGTGGACTTGGTGAAGCCTTTTGGAGAAGCCCCAGAAGTTGGTTGTGGTGGGGACAGCAGGAGGTGGTGGTCACTTCTGCACGGCAGTCTGAGCGTCAGAGGGCTGCCCAGGGAAAGCAGAGGACTGGCTTGACTTGCCAATATACGTGTGAAGCCACATTTCCTCTGTCCTGGAGCACTCAAATCACAGGGAACCCTGGGTGAAGATCTCTTTTTCTCCCCTTATCAAAGCTGGGAAGAGGCATGAGGCTGGATGCAGTAGAATCTGAGATCTTCTAGTGGTGCCTGTTTGGGATTAGCACATTGACCTTGAGCTTGCCTGCAGATACACATGGCCTCCTACCCGTGACTGGAGGAGGATCCATGTGCCAGGGAGGCTCCTCAGGTTGTTATTTGCATGCTCAGTTGTTTGCAGAGGAGGATCCATGACCCTTGGCTTTGGAGGTGGTGGGGAATCATTTTCTCTTTGCATAGTGCTAATGGCATTTTTAAAAAATTGCCCGTAATGATGATGGTAACACCAGTTGTGCAAAGTACTATTAGAGAAGTGTAGCAACACTCAAAAGAAAAAAAAAGGTATAAGCACTTAGATAAGCATCTGCAAAGTGGAAGTAATAATCAGCATTGGCCACAGTGATGTCAGAAAAAGCGAGTGCTCATCTTGCATCAGAATCAAGTTCATATTTCCATCTTCTTTTCTACAAAAAGGACATTTTGGAAGTTTTGTGCCCTTTTCTCACGTGTCACAAGGGAGCAGGAAACTAAAACTAAGCCAGCTGTTGGTCTAGCTGGATGGCAATTGCTGTGTTCAATGGAGCATGTCGTTTGGCTTGTGAACATCAGCTTTCAAGACACTCTTGTTTAAACAACCAGAGCTGACAAGTATGGAGCATTTTGCTGTAGGAACAGACTACTGTGAAGTGGGAGCTTGAGACACGGAGGTCTGGGGGAGCCAAAGGCCGTGTGAAGTGAGAGCAGACCAAAAACTGTGGGGTGAATAAATTGAGAACCAGATGGAAAACGCTTTTGCTGTTACTGTGCGGCAGCAACAGGTTTTGGGATTTTCTTTGTATGCCTGTGGGACATACATACACGATTTAACATCGGCTTTTCTTAGCATGTGACTGCATGAAATGATGTTTTTATTTGCTTAAGAGAGTTGCTAGTGACCTGGTAAGCTGGGAGACCAGGTTCCCCGTTCTCTCTTTTAATTTAATTTTAACATAAGCCAGAGCCAGTAACGTAGACCTTGTTTCTTCCAAGTCTTATGGCAATGCCATGCTGTAAGTGTCCTGCTGGACTCGGTGCAACCTCAGTTCCTCTCCAGCTGAATGTTTAAGGACCTCTTTGCAGAACCATGGGCTGCACCTAGGGTGGCTCCCTCTGTCCTGCAGCATCTGGTTTGTTTTCTTGCAGCTGAATAATTGCACTTTATCAGAAATGAAAACATTACCATCAGTCTATTGCTACATTCAGTGTAGTTGGAAGCCAATTAGGTGACTTGTTAAGAGACTCTTACCAGGCTGTAAGGCAAAAGTGTTAAAGGCTTAAGATTTCCCTGTCGCTTTTGTGGGGAACATTTTGGGTTTGGGTTTGTTTTTTGTTTGGGTTTTTTTTTACAAATGCTGGTAACTTAATCACCCTCATCCCTTGTGTCAGAGGGGAAATGAGCTCAGAAGAAGTCACCGAGGCAGAGGGTTACCAGAGCTGCAGAGGCTGGAGGCACAGGAGAGCCACAGAGCTCATTGCCACACAGTCCTGAGGTTTCTCCCCTGGTCCCCTTTTCAGTCTCTTCAGCCGGGTTTTTTTACTTGCCAGCAAGATTAGTTTTAAAAATAAAATGCCATAGATTTTTCCTTGTGGATGTATTTCAAAGGGGTTTGAAACTTCAAAGACTAAAGCCATTGAGGTGCAAAGTCAGCTCGGGTCTGTGCACAGAATCAACATCTATTTTGCTGAGCAAAGGTATCTGTGAAGGTAGATGTCGAGACTCTTGGCAGGGAGTATTGCAGGCCAGGCCTGGGCAGGGCAAGGGCAGCTCTGAAATGGCCCATGTCCGCTGGAGTCTGTTACTTGCTGATGGGTCCCTGGAGCCCCCCATGAGAAGAGCAGAAGTAAGGGATTTTGGTGAAGACCAGTTCTGCTCCTGATCGACACCTTACTGCTGGGTTGCTGCTTGGAAAACTCAGGAGGGAAACCCTGACTGATCCTTCCAGGTCAGAGCGTTGCAGGAGGCTGCAGGGGTGATTGCAATCGCAGCAGACTGGGACCAACCTCAGCAAAGCCATTGCCAGGCGTTACCCTGGCGGCAGCAAATCCTCTCTTCCAATTCTCACACAAAACTGCTGAAGGACTTGTTTGCATCCCTAAGGCAGAGCTGACCTGACCTGACCGTGCATGTCACCAAGCACACAATTAGTACAGGATGTTTTCCCCAGATCTCTCTTTTTTTTTTTTTTTTTTTTTGCTTTCAAGAAGTCACCCTGTCCGGTTTCTAAATGACTTCCTCAGAAAACATAACTTTGAGACCAGGGTTTGGATGGTTCTTGCAGAAACACAAAACCATTGCATAATGTGGTTTATGTGTTTAAAGTGGTTGAAGGACCAAAATCACAGCACTGCAATTTTTTTTTAATATATATCTCTCTATATCTCCAGAGAGGGAGAGAGCATGTCACAAAAACTAGTTGCCACGTGTCAAAATGCAACTGAGAGGTGTAACTCAAAACTGTTTTTCTGGGGAATGCTCCTGGGGCTGATGGTCCTTGAGCCTTTAGAGATACCTGGTATGAAATCCTACAGTCCATCAGAGCAGATTAAATCAGGTCTGCTGCGGCTTCCATTAGAGTCCAACATCTTGTCTGGGCTTCAAGGAGCGTCAGATATCCCGTGCTGGACAAAAAAGCGGTTCTGCCAAAGAGCTGCTGATGCAAAGAGGTGGACAACTAGTTTGGGATCCTCTGATAGAGACTGCTACAGGAGGAGAAACTTTCTTGGAAAGATAATGTGTGTTATGGCAACAGCTCTCCTGCAGATGAAGAGGAAGCAGGCTGAGAGCGATTAATTGCTTGGCAGTAAAGCATGGTCCATAGCGTGATCCACTGTAGTCCATATAAAGAGGTTTTGTCCAATAAAACTGGGATACCTGGAGGACCTGAAGGGCCGCTTGGACATCTGAAGACTGTGGTTGCTAATGCAGTCACTGCTGGGTTGTTTGAGGTGCACGTGTTTTCAGGTATCGTGCCATTAACGAGGGCGGTGAGACCCTTCCTGGTAGTCACACGTGTGGGAAGGTGAGCAGCCCCAGGGGGGATGCTGTGGTCCCATGGACACACGTTTCCCATCCCTGCCAGACCCTGCCTGTTGCCATCCTGCACCTTGAGGATGTGCCCCATGACCTTCCTGCCCCAGAAGTGGCTTCCAGGTTCGTTTGCAGACACAACTGTGGATCCAACGCCCCTCCTGAAGGGATGACATGCACATTCCTACTTCCTAAAGCTATCGAGGAACTGGCTGAGGACATTCACGGTCTGTGGGAGCTTTCTGGTCTGTGCTTTAGTTCAACAAAGAACAAGCTAGACCTGCCCCTGCCCCGTGCCTTTATGAGAAGTGGTTCTGTGCAGTGGTAGGGACTTGTGCCCAATTACATGCGACTGGTTTTGATTAGACTGGAACAAGCTGATTCCTCCCAGACCCATTTTCTCCTCTCTGTAAGCACAGCCCAGTGCAGGGGATTTTATCACATGCTAAGGCACAAAACTCGTTCTTAAAATAGCAGCAAAAGTCTCCCAGACACATGGAAATGGCGTGATAGGGACTTCCCTATGACAACTGGGGCAAGATTGCGTGTGCAGCTTTCAGAGTCCTCATAGGGAGGATTTGTTGCCAAACTGCACAATCAACACTAGAAACACAGTGGAAGCTTTGTAAGAAGCTTTTCCCAGACCACCGAGAGACAAGATACTGGTGTTTAATCCCCAGGTCTGCAATTTGTGGGCTGCTTAGGACTGAGTACATTTCTCTGTTTTCTTACACATATGGAGTGGGAGCAGCAATACCTTGCCGACACGTGCAAGGCTTAGTAAAGGAAAGCCTGCAAAAAGATGTTAAAAAAATATAGAGAAAAGCAGAAGAGCAGCAAGTTCCTCCAAGAGTGCACGATTGCAGAGAAGCTCCTCCTGCAACGTGTGGTAAAGCGGAGACACACTCATCTGTGGATGAGCGTGGAGGGTGGTGGTTATGGAGTGCTGGTTGTGGAGGGTGCAGATATTGGGTTGGGACATCACGGCCTGTGGGTGAGG